TCTAAAACATAATATACATGCGTAACAGAATAATGAGTATATTCAGCTATCACCTGACTATAATTCATGTGACATATATCTCCTTTCAAAGTTTTATCCACAGGAAACTGAAAATCAGAAATATTACTAAAAAAATATTACTAAAGTTAAACATATTGTATACTTTACTTGAAAGATACGATCGTTGACTCCCAGTATCCATAAAACAATTGAATTTGTGCATGATGTTATTAGAACTGGCTGTAATTTCAACAATAGGAAGTAATAAATATTCTTCCAGTTGGAAACAAGGATTTGAGATCTATCTGAATTTGGACACAATGCTCCTATATGATCATTGTTGCTACACTTCCAGCAAGGATTCAACAGTCCTTTCTTACCATGGCAATTATCCACAGAATGGTTAGGACTAGTGCATTTAACACATAACTTATTCATTACACATTGCTGAAGTCTAGCCTTAAGTGTAGGAAAAACCTTACAATAATAAACTTTATGAGCATTAGTATTACAGAATTTACAACTGTAACAAATATTAGAAGCATTAGTGTGGAAATTTTGTAAAGTAGATACCATCCTGTTGGTATCCTGATTTTTTAATTTGTCTGAAACAATGGTTTTACTTCACACATTTCAAGGGAGAATTATTTTTAGGTTTAATAATTTTTAAAGTTTTAATTACTTCCGAATAATTAACATCATTAAGTGTCAAGTGATAATTATTTCCCATTATTCTAATAATTTCTTTTCTTAACATTACTGGTAATTTTTCAAAAATTGTATAACCTATATATTTATTACCGACACTATCAAATTCCAAAAAATCTAAATTGAATGAATTTTTTAATTTTGTTAAAACAATCTTCACTGCATTCAAGTCATACTCTTTTAAAACTTCAGCTTCTGAAATAGATTTGAATATACTATTTACTATATAATACCTGCCTAAAAATTCCTTTTTCAAGATTTCTGCTATATCAAAATTTAGGTCTGAAATGGAAAGATGACTTATGATCTTCTGAGCGTATCCTCTCAGATAATTTTTAAAAATAATAAGTTGCAAAGACTTATTTTTAACGCTAAGAACACAATTTTCAAATTCTTTATGAAAATTTAAAAAGGACAATTTGTCCTGGGATAAGCTTTCAGGGTCGAACACAGGACATTTTAATTTAGGAGCAACATTCTAATGAGAAGAAAACAAATCAGAATTACTAGTCACAGGGGGAAATAGGGTTTATAACTCCTTCCAATTTCTTCGTTTCCAAAGCAAAAAAATGAGTAATTCTGGCATGAAACAAAGTTTCCACCTAATTATGTTGAAATATGATTTCATCTTCTTCATTTTCAAAATAACAATTTGTAATTTGCTCATTAATTAAATCAACAGAATTTAACAATTCCATAACTCTATCTTTTTGAGTTGCTAAACTATCTTTATTAAATTGATTTGCTTCTGATTTAATATATTGAACAATGTGTTCAGTATTATCCTTTAAAAAATTTCTTTTTCCCAAAAGCAGATTTAATGTAGGTGATAAATTCATATTTTCATATACCTTTATACAGAATAAAAACTAAATGAGTTATTTGAAGACAAATTTTCAAAAACCTCAGTTTACAAAATTTTAAGGATACAAGGATTCTTTTAAATGTCAACAAAAATATTTGAATATGTGAACACAAAATACCTTAATAATAATAGTGTCTAAAATTTTCTTTTTTCACTAAAAAGGAAACAATATGCATAATGTAGAAGAAAAAAAAATTATATCATATATACAATTAAATTAATTGAAAATTGAACTATGCATTGATGCTTTGTATTGGAGTAATTTGTCTTCTCCTCTTTTGGAGACTGTCTTCATTGAGTTTGCCATCATGTCCATGAAATTTAGTTTTGGCAGTATGGTGTACAGGCAAATAGACAGGATTACTTACTATGGGTTGTCTTGTAGTGGGTGTGAAATAATAACTCCCCTTTACCCACTCCCTTCAAATTTGGAGGACCGAGGAAAAAGATGGAAAGGAATTTGCAAGCCTATGTGAAATTTTCTTTGGAGTAATGAAAATCTTGCCTTCACAGAGATTGACTGGCAAGCTGAGAAGAAGATGGAAATCATTTGTGTGGGTAAATCAACTGTTCATTATAACCCTGAAGCCCTACACCACTATAGTACTACACCACTTTGGGTAAAGCAGTGACCAAACTTTTTGTTGGATTTTATGAGCAGGATTTGCTTGCTTATATCAAAAATCTTCAGTGTTATTAACAATATGTGACTGACACTTTTTGCATATTTAATAGTAAGGAGTGGTCTGAGATTTTTCATGGATTATTGAATGCATTGTATCCAGCAATAAAGTTTACATGTGAAAAGTAGAAGAATGCAATTGCCGAACACTTAATAAAAAATCCAACTTGTGCCTTGTTTTTACCAGAGATTTGTTTATACCAGTCAGCAGTTCACATTTGGATTACCATTTTAGAGTGCCTGAAACCCTATTAACTCTAAGTCTGTAAGCAGATGAAATGGCTGCTGGGTTTAAATGTAATCTGTCTGTGATTTATATCACTGATTCTTTGGTAGTATTTTTTTCTTTCCCACTTTTTTTAGTCATACATATAATTATGTTTTATCCTCAATTGAGATCTGAAGAGCAAGGAGCAGTAACCTGTTAGGCATTTTTGGTGTTTCTTTTTTGTTATATTTTTCATAATTATTTTTCTTTACTTATCTTTTGTTTTAATATATTTATGTGTATCTATCTATCTATCTATCTATACTTTTAAAATGTCTGTTTTTAAAACCCTAATGAAATTTAATTTTTTATTTCTTTATTAGAAGGCAAATAGTCTGAACCTGATTTTGCATATTCTTCTTTTTTTTAAATGAATCTTGGCTGTTGTAATTGTCAATCTTTCTGTTAGTTAATTCGTGGGAATTTTCACATATGGTAATTAGCCGTTTCCTTATGAGGAAATATTTGGCATTCATTGTCCAAGCAGCCAGTGCTGCTGTCAGTTAAAATTTATAAAATCTTCCTCTTAAAAATTTTTTCAGGAAAATGGGTTTCTCAAGTCCACTAACTGTTATTGCATTTTCCAGCATTAATGGGGTTTTCCTTCCTAACCTTTTGTTTGAAGTAGTGTGGAATTGTGGAATCTTCCACATTAGCCTTCCACCCCTTTCGGAAAGATGTATTCTTCCCTAAGAAAAAGCCTTAACCAATCACCACTTCGTTTCAGTAAAGTCAATCTTCTATTGGTTAAGAAACACTAAACTGTAGCAAAGTTGAAACAGATCCTTTTTCCCACCAAAACTCCCTGGAGCCGATTTTTAGACACCAGAGTCTATATAAATGTCCGCATGACTCAATTCAAGTCAGTCAGTCATCAAGTTTCGTGAGATGCTACCAAACTCCATGTGTGTCAATTCACTGACTCAACATCACTTCAAAATTCTCAACAAACTCAATACAGCACTCAATCGACCATTGTCCGCGTGGTAATCAAATTACAATTGACTTAAAAAGTGAACGTTTTCACTATACAAACAGCAATTGTACAATTCATCAATTTAGCCAAACAGTTAAAGGTAAACAAATCTTCACAACTTAAATTCTAACTCACAAGTAACACACACATACACACTAATATTTGAACGAACACATTTGAGATTTTTCCTTGCAGAAACCAAATTATTTTAATTTTCACTAACAAATCAAAACCATTAACTTTTATTGACCAAATTTCTGCATGAACATTCTTCATAACCTTGTCTCAATTGCCACAATCAACAAATTCTGTTATCCTTGCATGTATATCTATTGTATATATAAAAATCTCTTTATTGTTGGATCTCTAACCACTGTTTTTAGTAATTTCTTGCAATACAAATTGTCCTTATATTCTTTATTTGATCTACGTGTTGTGGGATAATGCATAATAAGCACGCATAATCTTTGCCTTACATAAATTACCTTCTGATACATTTTCACTCAGCTACAACCCGCAACAGAATGTTGACATTTTTAAGTACAAGCATTTCAACTTTCAACATTGTGCCAATATCAAAAAAGTGCCTGATGCCTTTATAATATTAGAGACTGATGCTTAGTTGCAACATTTTGCCATTGGTAACTGATAGCATCAGTTACTAATGGCAAAATGTAGCAACCAAGCATCAATCTGATGTGTCTGAGGATCTGCAATTAAATAATTTCATTATTTCACATATTTTTCCAAACTAGTATCTTCAATCTTTTGTTGTCTTCTATCATTCATTTTTTTCAGCTGATAATCTTCAGTCTTTAAATTTAATTGACAAGAACTAGATATCTATCCTATACCTGAAGCTTCTAACAACCAAATGGTGTTCTTATTGCTATTCCTTCCTGTTACTGTCTTTCTTCCTTTTTTCTTCATACAAGGAAGTTTGAATATCATCAGAAGTATAATTATTACGTTTTGGTTTCTGAATTTCTCTTCCTTTTAAAGAATACAGTTTATTGCAGTATCAGTTATTATTAATTTTTATTAGTGTATTAATATTTCTTTCATCTTGTTCTGGAAAAAGTGGGCATGACTACAACAGAACAAGTGAAAACAATGGAAATACTGGTCAGTTTTATAAGAGAGAATAAGAATGTAACAAATCTTATGGTGAATGAGACTTACAGCTAAGAGAATAGCTGTTCTTATTTCTTTTTCTATAACACATCTTAATTTCAGTTGCTTTTTATCAGAACTTCACATACCATCATTCTATAGCTATTGATCTGTTGGATTTGTAATAAATAACTGCCAATGATTTTTTAATAAATTCAAGATAATTTTAATGCAGTGTGTTTTATAATAGAAAGTTTCAATTTTAAATTTTGGTTGATTTCTCTCTACCTTAAAGTTAAGAAAATTATATTTTGTTAATTTCTTTTTAAATAGTTGTGATTTCAAAGATTTTTCAGATCATATAAGCTCTTTTTGTATTTGATTGCAGGATAATTGCTGTAAGTTATGAAGCACGTGCTTTTGGTGTAACTCGGGGAATGAGAAAACAAGATGCCAAGGCAAAATGTCCTGGCATTTTATTACAAAAAGTCCCTGAATTAAGGGGAAAAGCTGATCTCACTAAGTAAGTATTGATGCTGTTCTTTCAGAAACCATGTTAAAATTTTGGTAGGGTAAGGTTGAATTAAGCTGCAGTTGCAGGAGTAAAACACAAGTAAATATACATGTTTATACAAACAGTTCCTACACTGACTACTGTGAAAACAGCAATAGTGCTACCAACATACTAGCAGGGTTACTCAGTGTTGCCTTGTGTATCATATCAAAATAACACCAGTAATGTAAAAATTTATGATCAACAACAACAGTAATAGTAATAATAATATTTATATTTAAACCTGACATCATTTAATTTATGATAACAGTATTCATTACAATTTAATTTTTGTCAATAAATAAATATATAAAGAGAAGAATCTTTGAAACTAATCTTGGATACTCTAATTCATGCTATCACCAAACTTTGTTGTTTCACCATCACCATGTAAGAATGCCAGATTCATGTACATGTAGCTTTTGGTAAATCCTGAAGCTAGATATATTTTCTAATACAGATTATCTCTTATTTTTAACCAGATATACTGAAGAAGGTGGTAAAATTCTTCTTGGCTAGACTGAGAACTTTTCAGCACCCCCTCATATATTCATTATCCAGCCCTGTTTTCTCCATTCTTCCTGCAGGTTTTTAGATTACAAATGCAGTATTCATTTAATAGTAAGCTCTGTGCTTTTATTCTGTTATTTTTCAGTGAAGTAAATGAAAATTAACCCATTTTGTTGTCAATTTTTTTAGATACCGAGAAGCAGGAGCAGAAGTTATGAAAGTTTTTTCACAGTTCTGTCACTGTGTGGAGAGAGCTAGTATAGATGAAGCCTACCTTGATTTGACAAATGAAATTGAAACCAAACTGAAGACACAGGATCCAGATATTTTATCCTTAGCTGATAAATTGCGGAACACATATGTGATTGGTTGGGAAAACAACCAGACAGAAAATAATGTTTCAAGTAAGGAAATCTATTTCATATTTGTGTTGTCAATCACATTCTATAATGAAGAATTTTCTTTCTCTTTTACCTTTTTTGCTAGTAAAGCAGACTGGCTGCTATTTACCAAGTTGCATTTTGTGACATAAAGAGAGAGAAAGGTGGATTTAGTAATCAACAGTGCTAAAGAATTAGGATGAAGGTGCTAATTACTTGGGTAGAAGGGATTCCAGAGTAATTACAGAAATAAGTTTTTTTTTTTGTTTTTTTTCTCTTAATTGTTTCTGGGGTTGAGTTATTAGTTAATTAAATGTAATAATTCCAGAGTGATTAAGAGACGGATTTGTTAAAGTAAAGTTTGTGATAAATGGCGAATTGGACTTTTGGGTGGTCTGAATGGCGGAATTCAACCAGACGGGATAAGTGGTTTTGGCAAAACTTAAGTAGACGTTGTCTGCGGAAGACCCAGCAGGAGGTCCGAATCCGATTTTAGTATCTCTTGAAAACTGGGTTCCCGCTGAGTTTCAGGGACTGGAAAAGCTTGCATGGTGGTCAAAGGCGATTTGCATATTAAAATTCGGGGGCGGTGCCTAAAGATGGTTTAGCTCTGTCTCTCTCTATATAAGCTGCCCGCACACTTGAGTTAGTCAGATCGCAGAACCAGGTAAGAGATGGCTTGTTGGAATTTGCTGGTCCGGTTGGTTGGTTGTCACGCGCCCAAGAGGTCCGATCCGAACCCAGAAATAGAAACAGACCCTGTATGAAACCAGTTAATTTTGCCATCAAAGCTGAGAAACCAAACTGCTATAATTACACGCTCCGACGAAGATCCCCGAATTACTTCCCTTAGATCAGCCGAAATTGTTTAGGCAGAAATTTTCCTACTCTCTCTGTCACTTCCGACCCCAAACGAGTGAACCTCGTTACGACATTTTGTACTCATGAAATTCTTTGGTAGTGACATAAAAGCAGTGGCCTGAAAAGGGCTCTTTGTACAGGAACCAAAAGAGTTGCTTATTTTTTCCTTTTCATGTCTTTGCGGCTACGACAAGAAACTTTTTTTGCATGAATAGTGATTTCCTTTCAGTGTAATACCCAGCCATTTCCTCCCCTTCCCACCAGACCATTCTGGGGAGACCGATACACTGCTGTTTGGATCAAGAATTCGCAACGTGACGAATAGTGGTGGTTCCTTCAGTTCACTGAGGGGAGATCGGGTGGATTCCTTTTTTTGGCCAGAACCACTGGGGGGACAGGACATAGCTGCAACAGGCAGGGTTTATTATGTTAGAATTGGTGCCTTGTGCCAGGATTCCTTTTACCATTTCAGTTTATTCAACTTCTTTCAATGCTTTTTATAAATTAACATCAGTGGTGGTAATTTTGGATATGCAAATAATGCTCTGTAGAAATATTTAAGCCATTTATTTGTTTTGTAACAGAATAAAAAGTTAGATGTACAAGTGTTTGCTGTTTAACTTAATATATTTCATTACATTTGATCAATGAAAATTCACTGCAAAATGGATGTTCCTGGGGCAATCTGTTGTAAAAGAATCTTGAGAGTTTAGCAGCAGATATTTTCTTAATAAGTAGGTATTGCTATTATACTTGTGCTTAAAAAGTGATTACCAGTGATTATTCCTGACTTACTGTATTATTAGAAATATAATTATATTTATGAGTATGGCTGAATGATACTCCCCTCCTATGTTAGTTTTTTTTTGTTGTCATACTGTGATGTCATTTTCTTTTTAAACATAGTTTGCAGTTTTTACTGTTAATACTGTATGGGCCTATACACAGGGTGTGGCTGAAATACCTCTCACATAATGTTAAGGCATTAGCTAAATAAAGATACCATTGCCACTAATGTCTTACTATTATGTGGGAGTTATTTCTGCCACACCCTGTGTATATATATATATATATATATATATATATATATATATATATATAATTTTTATTTTAATTTAATAAGGGTAGTGTGCTTTCTTATTATTTTTATTTTAATCTAATAAGGGTAGTGTGCTTTTCTTTCTGTATATGATCCAATTTTTGCATTAGTTTTTTGTGCTCTTCAGGTTTGATCTTTTGTAGAAAACTGTTTTTTTTTCTACTACTGCTGCATAGGATATTGCATGTGCTGTTCTTTGCTATATTTACTTCATGTGGGGGTTTGACCATTGTGAGATGACTAATAATTTAGTATTGAAAACTGCACTGACACTGCACTAACTACAGCTATTCACTACTCTATATTTGATGGAAAGTGGCTTTTATTGTTTGCTGGCTATAGAGAGTATGAAGATAAGGATCAACACTGTATAGCGACTGTCAGTTTTATGCTTCAATAGAATCTTCAGACCATGATTGCTTTTATGTATGAAAGTGACTGTCACCATGCTGTGTTGATTTTTATGTACACACCATTTATGTCCATAAATACTCTATCTCTGATACTGCACACTTTTCCCATATAAATGTAGAAAATTTTAAACATACACACACCTCTCCAAGAGAGAAGGCTAAGTTTAATCCCTAATACTGCGGTCTCTTACAGCGACAATGCTGGAGAGACCTTGAGTAATTTTTTTGTCTCTAGTCCAATGTACACATCAGATTTCCACTTTATACTTGACCTTGTGCCATGTTCTATTTGGATACACACACACTCTCTCTCTCTCTCTCTCTTTTTCACACAAACAGATTCTTTTTGAAAAATGAACTCGCTCAGCTCTTTTGAAGTCAGAATTGTGATTTGAAAGTATCTGATGTTTTTAGTTTTGACCAAAATTGTGAAGGTAGATATATAGTTGTAGCAAAGGCACAAATTATTTTTTGGAAAAAAAAGAATATATTTTCTAGAAATATTGATGTTTCTTCACTTTCATATAAAATGGAATGAAAAGATTTTTTTTTTTCTGAATTTCAGCTGATTGTAAGAAATGTGTCAGGAATTGGTTGGAAGCAATCCAGACTTCACAATCAGAACCTGATATCAAATTAGCAATTGGTGGTTGTCTTGTAGAACAGATGAGAGCTGCTGTTTATGAACAAACTGGATTCCGTTGCTCTGCTGGTGTTTCTTGCAATAAAGTAAGTTTATAATATTAAAATTAAACAACTCTCTCATCCTGAGTTGGTGCTGGGTGTCAATTAACTACTGATGCTGATGGCACTTGAAATTAAGAAATGCATCTTTGCTTTGATAAATTCACATTGAATTATTAATTCAATGTGAATTTATCAAAGCAAAGATGCATTTCTTAATTTTCAAAAATATTGTGTATACAGCAACTTATTTTATTATTAATTTTAACAAGATTTAATGAATTGGCATTAGTAATTTATTTGAACTTGTTCATTTTGGACAGCTTAGCTTATATTAGTAATATCAGTGTTAATTTATTGTATTTATGTTCCAAATTTCATGACTAAACCCATAAAATATAGGCTGCATATCACACTCACTTCAAAAAAAAATAGAAAATATTTCCTTGACCACTAGATAGAGTTTGCTTTTATAGTTTTTGGAGTGCATGAGTAAACCTGATTGACAAACAACAATTGTGATACTTCAGCTTGTTTCTAGAAAATCAGATAGCATTGCCAGTAGCCATATTGAAGTTGGTAAATCATCAATTGGGTTTTGTCTCCTAGCAAGAACTGATACAAAATCTTTTTATGTTGTTGGTCACATCCACTACTTCCATGGTTGCCATTGCTGCCACAGAAATATGTCATGCTAATAGAAAAGAGAAGAAGAAGTGCATGTGTTCAGAAAAATACTTTGATATATTTATAACATGTCAGAAATTTGTGTCTGTAAAAATGTGCAGTGGAATACATTTCAATTTATAAATGTTGAAAGAAGGGACACATATATTAAATATTTCATTGAGTAAAAGGATTTCTTTTTTGTCATAATTCCTGTTTACTTTAGTGTAGCTACCATTTCAAAGTGTTACAATTCAAAATGTTGGCTATTTTAAACAACTGCTCTTTTCAAAGTTATATTTCATACTGCATGACCATTAGAGAAAAGTCAGTTTTAAATTAAATATTTTGATTTTAACAGTGTATCAGGTTATCTAGCATTATTTGGATTAAAACTGCTTCTAAGAGTTTTGCTATTATTATAATTTTCTTAATTTTAATTTTTTTAGATCAATTCATCATGTAGGACATATAGAATAAAAAGGGCTAAAAATTATAAAAACAAATACAGAAAAGATTTATTGGTATGAAATAGTTGATTTCATTGAGTCATGCAAAGTCATTTTCCTAAAGGTTTAAATTGTAAGTACCTGAGGTCAATGTGTAATCATTTTTCAACATTTAACATATTTGCTTGAATCCAAACAATCATGTACTTTTGAGAATTGTCACTTGAATTTCAAAATGTAAAAATGTATTAACGAAAAAGGCAATTAGTTCTCATAAAATGCTTCAACAAATCAATAAGTAAAATTTTAGGAAAAATAGTCTGATAATTTCTAGCCTTTCTGTGATGCAATGTATCACTTATGCTCACATATATATAGTAAATGTTGAAATCAAAGAACATGAGAAAGCTATATTGAAAAGGAAGTAGAAAAGTCTGGTATATTATACCATATTTGGAGAGAGAAGGAACCTCTTTGTAATGAAGCCCAAATAATAGGGTAGGAAGCAACATTGAGACATGAGAAAATTGAAGCAAGCACTATATCTTAGCTGCATGGACAAATCAGTGCAGATTTCAATGTGGTTTTCTTTGCTTAGCATCCTTGTTTCTAAAATATTTTGAATTACACAAGTTGATGAGGATTAAGTCACCTATGTTACTTGAGTTAATAGGAAGAGTATAATGTGATCAGTATATTTGCCACAATTTATTTTCTGTAAATGAAACTTCCTCTTTTGTACAAATGAAGGACAAAGAATAATGGATCAGTCAAAATGTTTTCAGAATAACAAAAGTAACAAAAAAAGAATGCAGTTTATCATTTTACCAACTTTTACAATGAAAATGACTCTTCTCAAAATTATAGAATGTATAAAAAATAAAACAATCTTTGTTTTTAAACATGACTGTGTGAAATTTTCTTACGCTCTTATTGAGTCACTGAAATAAAATACAATAATAACTCTAAATATGAAATCTTTATATGTTAGGCAAATTGTTCTTTTCTCCAATTAGATTAATTGAATGTGTAAATAATTTTCTTCTTTTTATAGATGTTAGCCAAATTAGCTGCTGGTATTCATAAACCCAACCAACAGACTATCCTGCCTCATGCTTCTGTAGAATCCTTCTTTGTGACTCTGCCTTTAAGAAAAGTGTAAGTGTTTTTTTTCTTTGAAAGTCATTGGTCTTCCTGAAAAACTTTATTAGAAACAATTCCAAATATGTTAGTCTTTTGGAATATTATGTGCTACAACTATTTGAGCTATATGATTGGTTTTGTGGCCAGTTTTTATAGTAATGAAAGTCATGACTAAATAATTTAAAATACTTTCACATACACTAGCTTTCTCTAATCTTCACTGATGAGGCTTGAATGCTAATGGTGAAATTAGCCATTTCCTTACATGAAATATTCAGGTTTAATTGACTGAACACTTAGCATTTCTGTCAGTTCAAATTTATAAAATCAGGGAAATTGGTTTCTCAAGTCAACTGTTATCACATATATATATATAGTCATTGATGGGTGTTTCATTCTTAACTTTTTGTTTAAGGTAGTGTGGAAAGTCAGTACCTTAATTATATTATGGTAGTTATGTTTGTGGATGCATAAGGGAGAGAATGAGAGAAAAAATATAATTATATACAGTTCCCTCCAAAAGTATTGGAATGACAACACCAATTCCTTTGTTTTTGCTGTTTACTGAAGACATTTGGATTTAAGATCAAAAGATGAATATGAGACAAGAGTTCAGAATTTCAGCTTTTGTTTTCTGGTATTTACATTTAAATGTGTTAAACAGTTTAGGACATACAACCTTTTATATCAGATCACCCCATTTTTAGGTGAGCAAAATAAAGGAACAGATAGTCTTAAAGTAAATAACATTTAATATTTGGTTGCATAACCTTTGCTTGCAATAACATGAAGCCTGTGACCCAGTGACATCACCAAACTGTTGCATTCTGCATTTGTGATATTTTTCCAGAATTTTAATGCAGCCTGTTTCAATTTTTGTTTGTTTTGAGGGGCTTTCTTCCTTCAGTTTCCTGAAATGCATACTCTATTGGATTGTGGACCAGTGATTGACTTGACCAGTCTAAAACTGTCTGCTTTTTTCTCCTGGTAAAGTCCTTAGCTGTGTTGGCAGTATGTTTTGGGTTATTATCCTGCTGCATGATAAACTTCCACCTGATTAGTTTGGGTGCATTTCTCGATAAATTGGCAGACAAAATGTTTCTGTAGACTACTGAATTCATTCTGATGCTCGACTCATGAGTTACATCATCAATAAATATGAATGAGCCTGTTCCAGAAGTATCCATGCAAGCCCAAGCCAAAACACTGCCTCCATCATACTTCACAGATGAGCTTGTATGCTTTGGATCGTAAGCAGATCCTTTTTTTCCACACTTTGGCCTTTGCATCACTTTACTGGTCTCATGAGTTCATAAATCATTCTTCCAGAACTTTTGTCACTCATCTCTGTATTTCCTTGTAAATTCCAATCTGGCCTTTCCATTCTTACTGCTGATGAGTTGTTTGCATCTTGTGGTATGGCCTCTATATTTCTGCTCTCAAAGTTTTCTTCGAATGGTGGATTGTGAAACCTTCACCTCTTGCACTGTAGAGGTTCTTGATGACGTCACTGACTGTTGTTTTGGTTTTTTTTCCTCACAGCTCTAACAGTATTTCTGTCATTAACTGCTGTTGTTTTCCTTGGTCAACCTGTTCTATGTCTGTTGCTCAGTTTGACCATGTGGTGAAGGAAGGTGTATTTGTTTTCAATGTAGCAAGGACAGGTTAGCTGTCTAAGGGCACCAGCAGGTTGTGTAAATGCTGTATTTTGTCTCTGGGTATGTTATGATGACCACAACATTGGAGAATTTACAAAATTAAAATATCAACTCTGGTTTTGGTTGATTTTCCATCTGTTTATATACATATCTATAGTTCTGCTTTGTAAAGACTGCTCACTTCTCATTGGCTCTTGAACTTATATCCTGGTTGTGAAATCTTTCTGATTGGTTGGTCAAACTATTTATTTTTAGAGATGATAAAATTTTTGACTCCTTTTTGTTATTTGTTTATTTCTTTTTTTTACATCCTGGTTGTGAAAGCTTTCTGATTGGTTGGTCAAACTATGGCTTTGTTTGCCTGGCGATTTTTATTATCCTTTATTTTTAGAGATGGTGAAATTTTGGTCATGTTATTTATATATTTCTCTATTACTACAATATCGTTATTTTCCCTTCTAGTTACATGTGCTACCCATTTTTGTTGTTGCTGTTGAAAGTGTTCAAGTGATCTGGTCATATTTGGTAAAGTTCTGTGTTTGTGATTTTGTAGTGCCAGTCTTTAGGGTTTGTCTTCTTTAAAACCTAAAGAATTAATCCATTTTTAGTCAGTGATCCAAGAAAGGTGATTTAAAATGCTTTCATATACACTGGCTTTCTAAGACATGAAAGGCACAACTAAATTATTTAAATGCTCTCATATATACTGATTTTCTAATCTTAATTATAACATAATGTGCATTGTATTTTTTAACACTATTTTTTTGTAAAGGATATTTTAACTTATTTAGAATAATTTCCTTTTCTCTGCTTTTTTTTACTGTGATATTTTGGTTGAATACTCTTTAGATTTCTTCACATGTTTATTGTATTTTGGAATGTTGAACAAAGTTTTGCCATTATAAATTACAACATCTGAGGAAGTCCAGCTTGTTTGCATAAAATTTTCTTAATTTAAAAATTAAGAAAATTTTATTTTTAATTAAAAAATCTAAATCCTCCCAAATATTCCTCATTTATTTTTGTCTGTTTTGCATCTTTTAAACTTTGTCTAATTTTAAGGGTCTCTCTCTCTCTCTTTCCAGCACAACATTTTTAAAGTTACCTTTTATCAGAAATATTTCTGGAATTTATCAATAATTAATTTCTGTTAATTTTTTTTTCTTCAGCCGTAATTTGGGAGGCAAGCTTGGCGCTGAATTGTGTGAAGAGCATGGAGTAAAGAACATGTCAGATTTGTGCCAGTTTACAAAGCAACAACTTTGTGACATGTATGGAAGAAAAACTGGGTATATTTTAATTTCTTTCTGTTTGTATTTATTCTATTGGGTAAATTTTACTTTCCTTGAAAAAAATGTAATGTAGAATTAGATATTTTTTGAGGGGATTTGATGTGGTGTGAAACACAAACAAATTAAATGGTGATTTCCAGTTCTTATAGAGATACTTATATATATATATATATATATATATATATAGTCTCTAATTTGGAGATGAATCGCTAACATTTTTTTCTGTTGCTGGTTGTTTCCATTTTTTGCACTGCTGATTCTAATTTATACACCAATGGTTGCCAGATTCATCTACTTTTAAAAGTGTTACTAAATTTTGAATTTCCCTACTTTTTTGACTCCTTTTAAACTAATCTGGATTTAGCTTAGGTTCCCAATGAGAAGAAAGTCAATTCAAAATGTAATAATGCTGAGCTTTCAATCAATTTGCTACTTGTTACCCATTCTACTATTCAGTACCATGCTTAAGACAAATCAGTACAGATTCCAATATGTTTTGGTTTTCTTTGTTCAGTAGGGAAGCACTTAAACAGCATTCTATGTACTAATTAGAGTTCCGTGTGTTACATCAATGACTATTAATGGTATCACTTGTGTAGCTCATGTGGCTAGAATGGATAAGCTGAAGAGAATACTAATTCTCACTGTGTTCTTCAGTTTATTTTCTTATGGATTATATACCCTAGAAGGTTGTAGAATGGATAGGACAAAATGTTATGCTGACAACATTAGGAACTCAAAGAATGAATTGGAATTCACCAAACAAATTTTGAACTCCATGTTTATATTGGTAACTGCAGATTTTTCACCAATGTAACACTGCAAAATTACCTAAAACAAGAATAGTGTGTTTTTATGCAAAGAGTTTAGTTCTTTTGATAAATTATATCAAATGAATTTAATTAATCAATTCAAAATATGCTTTTTTTCGAAAATAAGTGTGCAAATATTACACTTCCTCTAATGCACTGGTATTATGGATAGGAGGACCTACCCCAAATGTTATAGTACAATTGATGTGGCGCTAAGCAGGTTGACTGTTAACCCCGCAAACAGAAAAATAATATAAGGTAATACGATCAAAGCAAGGACAACAAAAGGCGAGGATGTAAAAGTTTAAGCCAAATTTTATTAAATAATCTGGCACAAGTATATACAAATAATCGTTTGTGGTAGTTGGATTCGTGTAGTTTTGAAACAAGCGTTGTCAGGTTTCAAGGCGACAGCTTGGAGGTAGGCCGATGGAACAGCGGTGTTCGAGGTCCAGTCGATCCCTGGATGTCTGTACTTGAGTAAAAAGTGCGTCGGCGCTAGAGGACATTTTATCGACGCGGACAGCGCTGGTGTAGTCTGTTCGTCCTTGGGTAGACTAAATTTGCAGGATCGCATTTTGGTAGTCCCTAATAAAAGGACGTTACGTAATAATTTTGGCTAGGTTAGTCCTGAAAAGGACTATTGCATATTATGTAATCGAGGGCAGACTATTGCATATCATGTAACCGAGTGTAGGCTAGTGCATATCATGTAGCCGAGGATAGACTAGTGCATATCATGTAACCGAGGGTAGACTAGTGCATATCATGTAACCGAGTGTAGGCTAGTGCATATCATGTAGCCGAGGATAGGCTAGTGCATATCATGTAACCGAGTGTAGGCTAGTGCATATCATGTAGCCGAGGATAGCTAGTGCATATCATGTAACCGAGGATAGACTAGTGCATATCATGTAACCGAGTGTAGGCTGCTGCTGATGTCTGCTTCGCTGCTGCTGCTGATGAAGCTGGGCTGCTCTGCTGGAGCTGCTGCTGCTGGCTTTAAACACTCTAGCTGCTTAAATATTGATGAAGCTGGGCTGCTCTGCTGGCTCTAGCTGCTGCTGCTGGCTTTTGCTCTAACTGCTGCTGATGAAGCTGGGCTGCTCTGCTGGCTCTAGCTGCTGCTGGCTTTGGCTCTAGCTGCTGCTGATGATGAAGCTGGGCTGCTGCTGCTGCTGGCTCTAGCTGCTTCGTGTGGTCATGTGAAGGTGAGAGGGGAGCTCGTCGCTCAACCCCGAGGCCAAAAAAATCAGCCGAGAAAGAATAATTTGGTGGAAAAAATCCGCTGTGTTTATATAGGCTGAGGTCGGTAAAACGTAGCCTGTCAGCGATATATTTGGGGTGATGACTGAAAATTAACTTTACTTTTTGGCTGTACACATGGGTTGCATTGGACACCATGTGTGTATATAAAGTGGTTTCTGGTAATTGTTTTTGGTTAGGAAAGTTAGTATATGTAAATGTTTCGTTTTTTTTTAGTTTTGTGAGACGTTGACTGAAAAACGCTTAGTCACCGGAAGTTAACGGCATTCGTTATGTTTTTGTGGTGACGCTTTTAGATGTTTGAGTAGCCCGCAGTAACTTCCGGCCAGGTGCGACTACAACAAAATATATGGTGAAATGTGCTATATCTTAAAAATAATGTTTTTATTAAATGGTTGCATGTAAGGAGGGGTTTGAAATGTTTGTACAAAAGTTTATTTTATTTATTACAACAGGTAAGAAAAAGTCCTTGGTTAAATCAAGAAGCCTCTCAGAAATAATTCTGATGTTTGGTCAAGAACTTTCCAACATCTTCACATAATTTGAATTGTATTCCTTACAAATACATAGTTTTATGACATTACTTTACATTGTTATTATGAAGTGTTTGATTTATTTTTTCATTAAATTTGAAATTTAACAATCATGCCCACAAAAAAAATGGTGTGTCAAATGGACGTTTTTTTTTTCTTGACACTTCTATTACTGTATACTTCTAGCAATTTTTATTGTTTTAAAAAGCTATTTTTAGAATTTTAATAAAATGAAAGTGAATTTACGAATTCTCTTTTTTTCAATGTGAATTGACAACAAAAATATTAAACTATTTATTAACATGATTATAAAAATATGTGATCCAACTAAACTGCAATACTTATGCATATATTTTTTTAATTTACAATTTACAGTTACTTTATGTATTTATTTAAATCTTCTTATTTTATTGTATTGTATTTTGTTCACATATTTTTATAATTATGCAAATATAAAATTATTTGAAATAAACTAAATGTTTAACATTTTTTGTCAGTTCTTGAGAAAAAAAAAGTATAAACTCAGTTTCATATGTTTGGGTTTTATTAAAATTCTATAAATAGTTTTTTGAAACAATAAAAATTGCCAAGAGAGTATACAGTAATAGTGTAACAGAGCACTGACTCTGTTTAATTGTATGAAATTACAGGATGGTGATATAGAAGGACTAATAATTGGATAATAATTATTAAAATTCTCAGGGGAGGAGGTTGAATGGGTGAGAAGCAAATTAAAAACAAAATGTGTTAAAATTTATGTTTTAAGATGATAAAATGAATTTAAGAACAGTTTCAATGAGAATTGAACCCAGAATTAACTTGACAAAATTCAGTAAAATTGAGAATAACCTGATTCACTTCCCACTGATAAGAAGACATGATTAATTAGTTGACCAAACTTCTTAGGTACTGGGAAAGTAAAATTTGGAAGTTTATTTATGTTATGTTATTTATCTGGAATATGAGTTCTTACAAATTATTCTAGACAAAGAATGAAACATCCCCAATGTGTTGACCACTCAAGAACACAACTATCTTTACAAAAAGATACCTAGGAAGATTCTAAAGTAAACAAAAGAGGTAGCATCTGTTTTTCTTTAACAAGATCTCCTAAGATTAAGATGGTTAGGTGGTGAAATAATGTCAAATTTTGGAGGAGGAGTCATCTATGTAAATGACAACCCCTAGTCCAATAAAGAGATGGGAAATCGACCCAGCAAGGAAGGTTGCCAACACAAAGACAGATGGAAAATCAGCCCAACAAGGAAGGTCGCAGTTGAAGACTGGGCCCAACGACAAGTTGGCTTGGAGCAACCTGGCGTTGTTCATAAGTTGTTGCTAAAGAACACACTCACAATTTGTGGGTTGGTACAAATTAGAGACATACACATAACAGAAGACTTGAAGTGTTGACTGACTGGTCATACTTTGGTGTTTTTGACTAGAATTTCCAAATCACCATTCCTGCAGTATAGAAGCGGTTCTTACTAGATTTCACCATCAAATTCAATATCATAGTATTCTGGGAAATCTGAATCAACACTATTGAGATCACATACTGGCCCCAACTTAGGTGGGGAAAAGAAAGCCAGATGACCCTTAAGGTCAGAATTACTTGGCAAAGTTAGTGGAGCAACTGAGAAGATTATAAGCGGTAGAGCTCAGAGCCAGGAGAATGTGGTATGTGAGTTGAGAAGTGATAGATGTGTCAGAAATAAAGGATTGTCAATAAACATAGAGGGTTACAATAATGTTGTCAAGAGGAAAACTGTCCTTTCGATACACTGTCTTCTGAGTATAATTGTTAAACTATGCTGTAAATTTTTTTTATGTTTTTTAAATTTTAAAATATTTCTAAGTATTATTTTATTGCATGATGATAATTGAATAGTGATTTAAAATATATACCTGCTTTTTATTTCATATTGTTTACAGAGAGTGGCTTTATGCATTGTGTCGTGGTTATGATTCAGAGCCAGTTGCTGCAAGACAATTACCCAAAAGCATTGGTTGCAGCAAAAATTTCCCAGGCAAAGATGCTTTAGATACAAGAGAAAAAGTGAGAACATTCTTATCTGGGATCAGTGTACATAAAATGCTTTAAAGAGTTTAATACTTTTTTGTTTTATTCAAATTCACCTTTGTATTACAGGAATCACTCACTTATTGCAGCTAATTTGTACATTAGTAACTATAAAAAAGAAATCACTTTTCAATTACTATGGTTAAACTGACAAATGTTTTACTACACTAATCAAGTATTATGCATGCACTAATTGAATTTTGGTATTTAAAAATTTTAGGGCACTAATCAAAAATGCATTAATTGAGGTATGCTTGTATTTTTTAAGGATTCTAACCTTGTTATAATTTATTCCTTACCAGTTTTGGTTACTTTTGCTTCTTTTGTCCAGCTTATTGATAGTCTTTTCTTTATTGGGCAAAAATATCCTGATGTCTATAGATGTACATCCAATCATTGTATCATGGAGTGATGTCATGTGTATAATCATTACCTCCTTTCTTTACTTATAAGGAAACAAAATATTTTTATGCTAGTTACTTACAGCAATGTAATTCCCTCTGAAAATGTGTCAATCTAAATTTTCTGGCATTGGTCCACCATTTGTCATTTTCTTATACATATGACTAGCAGCATGGCCCCGCGTTGCCTGTGCTTGATTCAAAAATCATACGACTCATACAGCAATCGCTATCACTTGACTTAAAATATTTTTGCCCTTCCTTGCATTTAAAGGAGTGCCCTTTGCCATGCTGATGTTGCTACATGCCTTACTTCTTGCCTATCTCACACTGCAAATTTTTTCTAAGCTCTATACTAAACATTAAATCTGTTACAAAAAAAGAACTAAACAAAATGAACACAAAACGATCAGCTTTAAAAAAAGACTCTTTACTAGAAAAACCGAATGAAAAAAGAATCTCAACAACAAATACTTTTTCACACCCAATTCAGTTCTGCAGAATCAGAATCAACATTGAGTTTAAGCAAGCGAATGAGCCAATTGGAGTAAAGTGCCATGCAGATTTAAATTTTTCCCACTTATGATGAATGCAACTATCGATTTTTTTTTTGCATGCTAGCATGGTAGTTAACATCCGTGTCAGTCAGCTGTTGGCTCTCACGCTGGCCAATAGAATCTTCCTGCCTATTCGTGGCAGCCAGCTATTGGCTCTCACTCTGGCCAGTACAAAATGGCCACAAACTACATGAAAACTGCCGTAGAAGCATGAAAAGTCGATTATTTCCACTATCGAAGGGAGTTGGGAAATGCCAAGTTGGTCTTGGCCTTCCTGCTAACTTGGAGCATGTGCATGTAAATTTTGGTGCAAATCCGTCGAAAATTGCGGTCGTGCATTCGTTACACACACACACACACATCCTACCTTTTATAGATAGAGATAAAACACTCAAAGTGTGATTATTCACACTTTGAGTGTTTTATCTCTATCTATAAAAGGTTGCACAAGTCCATTTCATTTCTATTTGTGTAATGATTTATATTATCTTGTTCTGTTTGGATGAAAATGTCTACTTGGCTATGATGCAAGACCACATTTTTCAGAAGATTGTGTTGCTCTTATCTCTCCAATTTGGATAGCATGTCTGTCATGAAATCCGTTAAAATCTTTTTTTTTTTGTTAGTTAAACATTAAGTTTAATGGCAGAAGCATATCCACCACCAAACAAATCTTTTAGAGACAAATTTTTTTGCATAGAGAAGTTTTTCAAGAAGGTAAATTAATGATAAGTTTCTCATGAAATGTTAAGCATTAATGAAAAACAATTAAAACATATTTTGAATTTTATTGAAAACCACATAGCATTTCCTTAGATTTCAAAACTTTGTCTCTTTTACTGAGTGAAACACCAATGATGCAAATGAATGTAATATTTAAAAATTAAAAGTATGTAGTGGTTGTAGTTAGTTACAATATTTTCTTTATCAAAAGGGCAAAGAAAAGGAAATAAGATGCTGAAGAGTCAATCACGTTTTAAAAATTTATTGTTGAAAGGAACTCGGCTTCATTCCCTGTTTTCTTGACGCTTTTTTTGTATTCAAGGTAAAATATTGGCTTTCACAATTATCCACCGAAGTGGAAGAACGCCTACTTAAAGATAAGGAAGATGTAAGTATACAACAGCATTTTGTTTTTTCTTGCCAGTTGTAAGATGTTTAAATTTGTAGATATTATTATTATTTTTACTAATATTTCAATCATTTTAATTTCATTTGCATTTTGTTGCAGATGCCATTCTGTGGACATTGGCATCCAAAATAAAGTATAAACTTTTGACAAAACTTAAACTTGCATTCCTTTTCTTCCTGGATGCCTTTTTTTTTTTTTAAACTACTTTTTTTTAGTACTAATATTATCTTGAATTTATTTTATTATTAGTAGGTGAAGCATTGTTATTTGATATAATTAAACAAGGAATAAAAACTATATTGATAGACTTGAGAACTGGCAGCCATTGGCATTCATAGCTCAAGTTGTAGAGCAATTATCATGCTAAGATGGGCTTAATGAGGAAAATGAATGTGAATTTTACTCAAAGCTTAGTTTTGGTTTCTGATCCATACTGTTTACTAATGGTTGAAGTAGTTGTGATAAAAAGTAACTGGAATTAAGATGAATGAAATATCAGGTAGGATATTAAAATGTTCACTATGAATGTATAATAATAAAATTCAAAGTAGGTGTCTGAATTGCTGTAGGTTAGTACAAAAACATGTTAAAATAGTTAAATTTCCTTCCATTTCAACAACTGATATATTATTTTCAAGGATATTTTGATAAAATCAGTATGCAAACAAAATGTAATCTTTTCACTTTAAAGATTTCTTTCTTGTGTCAGATGATCAGTTTCTGTTCCACATCTCTTTAAATTTTTGTTTCTTTTTTCAATGATGCCACGTTTTTCTGCATTTTCAAACTTAATTTATTAATGTTTTTAAAACTTGTGCTTTGAGATGTGTCTCTTTACACATATTAAAATAGTCCCATCTTAAAGATTAAAAAGGATGCTCATCAATTTGGTAGGCCTAATATAAGGTTTGAAGTTGTCTTTCATAAAAAGAAATTTGAAAACTTTAGTGGATAAAATAACACACAATATTTAAAAAAATGAAAACTACATTCTTGTAGAGCAATGTATCATCTTTAATAATCAGTTGTTTTCCTAAATCTGTGCCGATACAACTGGAGGTGCACATGAATCAAAAAGTGGGTATATTGCATTCATTCCATACAAAACCATTGTCTGATGCAGTGAAATTTGTATTGCTGACTGAGTTATGAAGCATTGCTAACTGAACCCCATTTTAAATCACGCTTGTTTCATTGATTGATATAACAGGTTAAATCTTTTCTCTTATATTTTCTTTAATGATGCATTTTAAAACTGTATAATGTACATATTGTATTTTTCCAAATTGTAATGTTTGAATCACTTTTGCCTTGGCTGTTGTTTTTCTTTAAGAGCATTAAACTGAATTCACATTATAAAATTTATTTATTTATTTTACTGGTTATTTAGTTCTTTAAAATTTGCACTCACGTTTCTAAAAAATTTTCTTAGTGTTCAATTTTCCTTTTCATGGTCATTCATTTCATTTACATTTGTGGCTGATCATACTTTCTGTAATTCTCAGAATTTGAGGATTAAATTGGAAATTTATTTACATTTTCTTTGAAAAATTGAAATTGGATAGATTTTATAAAAAATTGAAATGTAATTTGGTAATTTCCAAAATGTAATCAGTTGTTTACTTATTCTAGGGATTAGGTCCTATTTGCAGGTTAAAATGTAATTGTTACATTTTCATATATATATATATATATATATATATATATATATATATATATAAAACACCAACATTATATATATATATATATATATATAATGTTGAAAATTAAAACAGTTTTTTAATTATATATTAATAAAATATATATATTATCCTTGTTGGTAAAAAAAACACAGATTCTTCAGGTGCTGACAATTTACATAATTTAAATTAAAATAAAATTATCATATTTTTTTTTATTATATATATATATATATATATATATATATATATATATATATATATATAATATATAAATCTTTTTATTTTAGATGCCAAATGTATTTTTTTAAAATAATAAACTGTAATCCCCATATATTTGACTGCACCAACACTGTAGTAACTAGATACTTTTATTAAAATTTAAATTACATAACTGTCAGCAGCTGAAGATTGTGTTGTGCTATTGGTGAAGTATAATATGTATATTTATTAATAAATATATATAAGACACCAAACAGCACTATCGAAACATTATTGGGATTTGTTGGAGAACGGCTTAACCCCACAAGGGAAATGGAGAATTGTCTCTAGGGCTCGAACTCCAATAAATTTCAGAGACTGATGTGACCTGTGTATAAAAGAGAAGATCCTAATGATGAGGCATAAATATCCTGATAAATTACTGAACCAACATAACGAGATGATTTTTAAATGTAGACATAGAAATCATCTCAACTTAATACATTGTAAAAAAAAAAAAAAAAAATAACTATATACAATGGTAAATATTGTCTTATTTTTAGATTTGAAGATGATTGTATACACACATTTGTCTGGATACATAATTGTATGTATACAAATGTGTATATGGACTTGGATATGGTTATGTGGATTTATTATATATATATATATATATGTATATACAGAAATATTTATATATATATGATATATGTATATACATGTGTATAAGTGTATATGTACATGTGTATATGTATATACATGTGTATAAGTGTATATGTACATGTGTATGTACATGTGTATATGTATGTGTATATACATGTGTATATGTATATACATGTGTATGTGTATATACATGTGTATATTTATTTATTAAAGACATTTTTATTTTATGTTTAACGTTGTTATTTTATAGATACAAGTATTTAAGCAAATGCTCTGTTTATGATAAACAGTATTAAATAACATTTACCGGCCTGAATGTCCGAGAAATTTTCATAGAAAATATTCGTTCATAGACAGGATTCGAACCTGCATCCTATACGGAACCGTCATATACGCTGACGTGCCTTGACCACTCGGCCACCATGAACCTTATGGTAGACAAGGTCGAATTTACTGTTATAAACTACAATCTTCCATGAATCTCGTACATTCATAACTGCTCTGGCGTATCGAATGTAAACAAATGACGTCATATGTTAAGAAATGGACGAGGTCCGACAATTTATTTATTAAAGACATTTTTATTTTATGTTTAATGTTATTTTATAGATACAAGTAATGAAATATATATATAAACGCCATTTGTTTACATTTAATACGGCCTGAATGGAATGAATGAAAGATTCATGGAAGATTGTTATTTATAACATAAATTCGACCTTGTAAAGAAAATAAGGTTCATCTGACCACATGGCCTATGGTATATATACGTCATTAAAATGACGTTTCCGTATAGGATGCAGGTTCAAATCCTGTCTATGAACGAATATTTTCTATGAAAATTTCTCGGACATTCAGGCCGGTAAATGTTATTTAATACTGTTTATCATAAACAGAGCATTTGCTTAAATACTTGTATCTATAAAATAACAACGTTAAACATAAAATAAAAATGTCTTTAATAAATAAATTGTCGGACCTCGTCCATTTCTTAATACATGTGTATATGTATATACATGTGTGTATGTGTATATTTACAAGTGTATATTTACATGTGTATAAGTGTATATGTACATGTGTATATACATATGTATAAATGTATATGTACATGTGTATATATATCGTATGTGTGTATGTAAATATATATATGTATTTGTAATTTTAGGTAGGGATATGTATATGTATCGATTCATGTATATAGGTTGCATATGTGTTCGTATATGTATATATATATATATATATGTAAGTATTTATGAGTTCATATATGTGATATGTGTGAATATATGTATGGTATGCATATATAGGTATAATTGGGTGTAGGTTTTTCTTTATATATATATATGAGAGAGAGAGAATTCTAATGGAAGGACATAAAATTTTTTTATTAACGTTTAATCTTACTTTCTCTTTTAATAATTTCTAATTGGAATTGTAAGATTGTAAATTTTACTTATCTGGAGATAAACTCATCAAGAGATTTAGATTTAAATTAAAATATGTTACTCCTTAACTATTAGTCTTGATGTTAAAAATATTAAAATTAAATATATTTTTTGAAATTTAAACACTTAATTCACTACCTAACATTAAATGTAAAATTTAAGGAAAAAAATTAAATATGAATGTGTGTATATATAGGTATAAATATGAATGTGGGTGGAAATTTGTAAATGTATGTGTAGATATTTGTATATGAATATGCATATATACCGGTGTATATTGATACATGTGTGTGTGTGCGCTTATGTATGTAATTGTACATGAACGTATGTATATGTGATTTTTACATAAATATGTATGTGGTATATATAGGAAAAAACAAAATTTTTTTACTATTAGCTTCAAATCTTACTCCATCTTCATTTGAAACCTAAACTTTAAGTAAGAAATATTACCCATCTAAAAATAGCTACAAATTACATTCATGAACTAGGCTCACACTGATAAAGATGTGACCTTAACAGTCATTCAAAATATTAAAAGATTATTATTAGTAAGCTTTTATATTTTTTTTATTATTGTTGTTTATTAATATAATCCTTAATTTATTTGTAGAGAAGTTGAATATTTAAATTGCTAACAAGCATTAAATTAATTTCTTTGTGGAGTTTTTAAACATTTAAATTACTATCAAACGTTAAAATCTGTTTTTATCTAAATTGCTAAAGCTATACCAACCCCTCTTCTTCCTCCGAAAACCCTAAGTACATCTCTTTTCCCTTTTTCTCCTTCCCTTTTCAACATCATTTCCGTTGAGTTGACGGATTAAATAGGTCAAGGTCTGATCCTTACCCCCTCCTTCTTCAATATTAAGTATGATAATAGAAAGAAATACAAAAATAAATTTAAAATTTTCCCTTCCCTCTCTAAACTCGACCATGTCTCTCACACCATTCCTCACTACCTTCTATGTTAACTTTTATTAGCCTAATACTGCCTGTCAAAAGTGTAAATTTTAATTTCATTTTTCGTTTCACCTTTTGAAAGTGATGTCTGAGGATCCAGGGAAAATTAAGTCTCTGGTGAAATAAACTATTACAATGGAGCCTTAAAGTGGTCTGTTTTTCTTTAAATTATTAGCTCTGAATTAACATTGAGCTCTCAGGATTTCATCCTCCTTGGGATTATCCATATGGATTACCAAGATTTTCGTTACTTACACACACTCACTCTTCAACTTTTGCAAACATGCATTGTCTTGTAAATTTTTTTTCTTAGGCTGTTATGGAAAATAATAAGCATAACATTTTTTTAAGCAGGTGTCTGTTCTTTTTATTTATTTTTATTATGTATTAGTGCTTTCAATACCAGAGGCTCCTACCAAGGTGTTTAATACAATTTACATTTAATCTTCTGTTCAGTGAATGACGATCATTCCCCGAGTTGTAGTTTTCTTCTAAGTGGAAAAAACAAGCAAAAGACACCAAATTCATTGCAATCTATGCTGATGAAGTTAAAACTGTGTGATGAAGCAAATAGACATTACAGTGATATAACTTTTAATGGAATTTCATCTCTGAAGGAAGAAAAGGCACTCAGTAAATCCGAGTCTTATCTGGAACATTTGCCGTAAACATTTTTGCTGCTTTTTATTTATACCCTTATCTTAAATGTCCCTTTTGGAGTAATGTTCAATTTAATATGTAAAGTACCTTGTTATCAAGTATATTTTAATTATATAACAAGGTGGTATTTTAAATTGTTTAAATGATTTTGGGTTTGGTGAATTGAATGTCAATTATACTTTGAATCCAAACGTAGTGTGTTATAATGTATGTTCAAATATAAGAAAGCATATTTCAATATTTAGGTATTTATAGTGAATTTAAAACACTTTATGATTGCAAATAATTTGTGTAAATTTCCAAAGACTTACTCAGAGTTTGAAATGGTTATTTTTCTTTGTGCAGATATTTTATATTGAAGTTGGTTGCGTATTCAAGTTGTAAGTTTGTTTGAAATAATATATATTGCTTGAATGAGAATTATTGGCAGACTGATATTATGTTAACAGAAAGTTTAATGTTAAGTCTGAAATATGAAATTGCGTGACGTAGGTTCTGATGTCAAGTTGAAATTTTTGCGCTCCTCATTGATAAGGATGAATGATGTAGGATTTTGATCCTATAACTTCATTTATTAAAATGTTTAAATCAAAGTAACAATAGTGTGAGCCAGATATACTTGATAACAAGGTACTTTATATATATATATATATATATATATATAAAAAAAATGTGGTGAAATTGTCTTATGGCAAATGTTCCTAGAGCCAATATGAGTATTCAAACAAGTCTAGCATTTGTAATGAAGAAGAATCACTTCAAATAACCTTCAATTACAAATGCCAATAGATTGCAGTATACAAGTGGCATTAACATTTGTCTTTTGAAGGGGCTTGATATAATGCCACTTTCACGTGATGAGTGTTTCAGGAATATTGGCTATATCAAAGGCTCAGAAACAAATTCAGACTGCAAATCGTCATTAGAAGAAGAAATGCAAGAGACCCATTCCAGCTCTCCAGAAAGTCTTGTTCATCAGTTCCAATAAAAGTATTTTTATTCATTTCAGTGGTTTTTTGTTTGACGATAAAGGAGTTTAAAGCTTTTGTAGCATTTATTTGAAGTTTTGCAGTCATTACTTTTCTTTTTTTGACAAGTTAAAAATTGCATTTTACAAGATTTCCCAAAATTAGATACGTCTATAACAAAAGATATATTACAGAGAAAAAATTGTTTTGGTGATTTCCTCATTCCAAAATTAGTCAGGCATGAATACTTTTTTTGTGGCAAGGTCAGGATGGTATACTTTTGACCTTCTGTCAAATTGTGTTTCTGGCTGTCTTTACATGGCGTAAATATAAGATTTTTTTTTTTGTTTTATTGGTGTACTAATGAAAAAAAATCTTCATCTTTCTTGTGCTATGAATCCTAGTAAGAGGCTGTAAAGCATTACCTGTTGAAATTTCAGTCAAATGTGTCTTTCTGTGTCATGTTTTAACTATTTTGTTTTTGAGAATGCAATTTTCCCCAATGTTTAGGCTGGTCTGATCTAATAATTATTGTTATCATTCTTTTACTTGAAGACACCTAAATGCCATTACATTTATGATGATTTTTAACTAGTCTGAAGCCAGCATCTTCAGTTATACTGTTGAAATTGTCTTCTGACCCAATAGCAGACAAAATGAAAATCTGCCAAACTTTGAATAGTCATAACTTGGTTGCTAATTGAGCTACTAAGTGGTATCATTGTTTGTTTAGTCAACCTCTGTTTGCCTGTATTAAAGGTTTTTAGATATATTAAAAGTATTTTTTTTTTTTAGTTTGTGATATCTATTCAAAGTTTATTGCTATACAATATTTACTTTTGTCAGTTTTGTAGTCACATCAAATAATAAAGGTATTTTTTAACAATGATCAGCTAAATTTTGTCCACTTTGATTTTTCTTTAGGTAGAAATCTGCTTGATTACTTTATTAAATTTTGGATTTAATCAAAAATGAAGGGAGCATTTTGTGTCAGAAACAATTTTTTTCTGTATTTTTGTTAATGTACTTTATTCTATCTTAATGTTAATGAATTTGAAAAATATTATTTACATTGAGGTAAAAACTGGAGACATTCAAAGAATGATGATTGCCTCCCACCACAGGACTCATAAATAAAATAACAATTTACAAATGAGCTTCTTGTGCACCAGGAAGAAAGAGACTTATGATACACTTCAAGCCCTGCATGTTCATTATCAATTTAAAAAACGAACTTCTAAATCATTTATTTAATAGTCTCTAATACTTCAATATATATTTAAATGTTAAGAAAATGAAAAAGTAGTAAAGATAATACATTCAAAAACAGAATCGAAAATATTTTACAAGTCTATTACCATTTTATGAATAAAATTAGCTGATTGTCTATCTATTTATTTGTCTTGAGATTTAATACAAAGACTGAAAATTGATTTTAAGAAATTTCTAGACTTGAGATCAGTGTTTAAAATTATACTTTTTATTTATATTTTAAATATGGTATAAATATCCTGAACAGATGTAAATTTTCATACTTTAGATATTTTGCAATTATTTGTGAATTGCTGTTTTTCTTACCTAGAATTATGATGTTATTGATTTGTTGGAAACTAGATAATTTGTCACAATAGGGCAACAGTGGAATGACAGGAAGCAAAAGGATTTGGGCCTCAGTAAAGAGCAACACAACTTTATTAAATCTAAGTAGTTTAAGCTAACAGAGAAATACTGAACTGATATTTTGCTTTCCAGGACAATGTGTTCCTACTTGAATGCTATTCTTAGTAAATTTTCTTGTTTGATGATCTTTTAACTTTGCAATTCTGACATTTCTGCTGTGCTTTGAGTAACAACACTTGTATTTTCTTTTTTGAATTCATAGCTAAATCATTACTTGTGCAATTGATTCTGTAGATTTTTTTTTTGTTTTGTTTCTTTTGTTTAGAACAAACGTATAGCTACATCAATGATTGTGGGACTTCGGTACCAAGACCCTATTTCTCAGAACTCTGTTGTGAGCAGCCGTACTGTTGCATTGGTGCAATATAACAGACACAAATTTGCAGCAAATGCTTTCACCTTGTTACAACAGTTCAACTTCAATTCTCCACATCAAGCCTCATGGTTAGTCATAAATTAACCTTATAAAAACCTGGAAGGCAAAAATTGGATAAATTCAATACATTAATCATGACATGAGATGAGATTTTAATAACTTGGGAATCAGCTGGGATAATTTTTTTATCAGTTTCCTTGGAGTGACACACACCTTGAAAGTTTTTCTATTTTGATATGTCCATATTTATATTTCTGCTGGACTTGAAGCCTTTTATAAAAGTTTAGGCTCATTTAAAATGTTAGAAATTACAGACCTTTGTTCCAAATGATTAATTAATGAATTTTGAAAATTTGAAATAATTTTACATATTTAATTACTTTGACTTTTTCTTTTGATATTTGTAAGAATTTAAAAAGTTTCATGTATTTATTTTTCTTTCAGTATGACAAGCTTTCAGTTTTTACAATTGAATATCAACTAATATTAATATAGTCTTGAAAAAATTATTGGCTGGGTAATTTTCTTTTCATAAAACCATCTTTGTAAAAAATAACTATATATGTTGCCTTTTGCATCATAATTAAAAGTGGACATAAAAATCACCCCTGTTTTTTTTAATGTAACTCTTACCTAAGTTTTTGATTAACAATGTCTGTCCCATATTAAAGCAGCTTGATCCAGCTGACAATTACTCTTGTTATGGTCACTGATGTAAATCTAAAACCTGTATTTTTTTTTTCCAGGACTCCACCTGTTAACATGTTAAGTATATCTGCTGGAAAATTTGTAGAAATTGGAATCACTCAGTTTGGTGGCATTTCAGCCTTACTCAGGAAGCAAATAAATAATTCTAAATTTATTCCACAAATTTCCACTGATTTTGAAACCAACTCCCAAAACAATAAAAACCCAAACATGAAGAAACCAAAAGAGAATACAATACAAAATTTTTTCTACCGACAACTTGTGTATAACTCCACACAAAAATATGAAGATGAAGTTTCCCAATCTAATACACAAGAAGTTCTTCAATCCACAACAGCCTCCAAAACTTTGACAAACTTGTCAAATGAAAAGAACAATAAAACTGAAAGAAAACTCCAAGGTTTTTTTGCAACAAAACAAAAACAGATGAACTGTACAAAGAAAGATAGAAATGTTTCAAGAGATTCTGGTTTTCAAGCAAAGCCATCTTGCAATGGACAAATACAAGTTGTGAATAGTGCAACTAAGAATTCAGATTTGACAGTCTCAAGATTTTTCTCTAAAGATTGTTTGGAACCAGAAAACAAAGCTCTGACTTCTGGTAAAAATAGCAACCATTTCTCTGAAAGTCTGGTAAACAATGAAGATCCTTTCCCTGGTTTAAAAAGGAAATTTCCTAGCAGGCAAAGAGAAAACAATTTAGATGATTGCATCATTCTGTCATCTGATAATGAAAATTCTGATGTCAGTCGTTACACAACAGAAGCTAGTAAATCCAACATGAAAAATTTTCAAAATCTTCATGTGAAGGTAGAGAATGCAACTGTTGGTACTGTATTGTATGATGATGATGATGATTGTAGAAAAAAACTGGCTGATGATGAAAATGGCAAAGTCAATGGGAAGAGTACAAACAAATCCATAAATAGTAAAGCCTCTGCACCAAATATGTATCAAAATACAGCAGTCAAATGTATTCAAGAAAACTCAGATCAACTTTATCGTGAGGAAATAGACATGAATGTTGCTTGTGATAGAGAAACTAAAATAGATTTATTAGAGAGGCCCAATTCTGTAAAAATCTCAAATGTTTCAGTTTCCATCACTTCTAAGTCTATAATCCATAAGAATGCATTGGCAGTTTGTGAGGAAGAACAGAATATTGGAGGAGAGTTGTCTCATTCTTATGAAAATTCAAAGATTCTCTCAAAAAACACATTCAGTAGTTTCTGTGATACTGAGAACAAGCAGATGTCTTTTGAGACTCTGGATTATGTGACATGTAAAGAGTGTCTGAAGAAGGTGCTTGTTTGGGACTTTGAAGAGCATCAGGATTTCCATTTTGCTCAAAAGCTTCATAAAAGTGTCAATGCAGAAGCAAATCCTGTATCAAATGAAATCCCTTGTCAGTCATGGGTAATGAAAAAAAGAAAGAGTAAAACAGTTTATGCTACACATAAAAAAAAGACTAAGACTGAGCATAATATGCAGACATTGGAATTGTTTTTTAAGAAATAAATATATCATGCTCCCTTAATGACAATATCTAAAAGCTTTGACTCCAGAATCACCTGGATTTATTTTCACATATTTATGCTCACAAACACATTTTCTTTATGATTGTCATGTAATAGAAACAGAGGAACACATTCTGAAAGTTCATTTTAACTTATTTATTTGTATAAAGTAATGAAATCTGAATATATTTACAGATGTGTCATTTGGATTGAGTTTTCTACTAATAAAACCTATAAAATAATAGCAGATGGCTGAGTGCCCAAGCAATGAAGGCAGAAAATTATCATGGAAAGATGATTTTAAAACCTGTTTAATAAAAACATTGAAATAAATTTTAAGAATATATTGATCTTAATAAATATTTGTTTTTAAGGAAGAGGGTTGTAAGGCACAAAACATAGATTTTAATTATATTTAGTTATGCAACTTTAAAATTTACATTTTAAGATTGATTTTTAGTTTATCCATTAATTTTCTCTTTTAAACTAAAAAATTATTCTTGTAGGTAGGGTATAAAATTTTCAAACCCAAACTATAGGATATAACTAAAATGAGTTGTCAGCGAAACATTTTTAATAAATCATAATTTCAGCTTTAAACAAGACACTATTATTAATAGTTTTACTTCATATTATAATTGTTACTTTTTATCTTGACACTATGGAATCAAAAATGAAGTAACTTTTGATAAGAGTTAATCTTGTCTTGGGCCCAAGCACATTTTGCCACCCATTCCTCTTTACTTGTTAGCTATTGACCATAATCTGTATAGCAGATCATGATGTTAAAGCTGTATTGGTTGTGAAGAGCCTCTAGGTTTCTATGTTACTGTTCTGTTCAGAATTATTTTGGTGTGAAAAACAGTATCATTTTCATTAGGTGCTTATTATCTCGTTGGTATTGTCCCCTTATATTTAAGCACTGAAAGAAGAGCTGTTCAACCATAATTTAAAATCGGTTATCCTTTGAGATATGAAGTAATAAATGCTGCTAATTTGGTAATAGCAGAATAATTTAAAACTTCTATACTTGCAAGAGCACAATATATACCAAGTCTGTAAAGAACATTAAGGTAAAATTTGTTTAGTGGAGGAGAATGCTTCTGCAAAATATTTTCGATTTGTTTTGAGAGAGTATTCTGAATTTTTCACTCTTCTAAAATTTCTAAGAAATTATGATCATCTCTTGGCAACAATGACCTTTTACTAATACCTTCTTTAATAAAATTCATCAAAATAATTTTTTTCCTTTTCAGATAACGTAAAAATTTATTCACTTTTCAAAAGATAATTTGCTTACTTTTTCAGACAGTTTAAAATCAACTAAAATTTCTAAGTAACATCTACAAAAATTGCTGTTGTTGATCAATTACTGTTTAGTCAGCAAACTATCTTACAGCATAAGCATCACTAACCTTTTAAAGTAATCTTTTTATCTTTATTACTTTAATTCATTTTATTTTTTCTGTAAAATGTATTATATAAAAGTTAAACTGAAATAGTCCAATCATATATTAATTATAGGAAACTTGTAGATTATGGTATCAATGTGTAAGTTATATTCACATTTTAATAAGACTATTTTCTAGGTTACAATTGTAATCATGAAGATTTTGGTGTTACAACAGACTGTGCGCTTGTGTGGCACCAAAATATTTCTGATCACCATTTTGACTGAGAAAAATCTGTTTTAATAGGAATTGAATATAATTTACACAGGTGAAGTCATATGGACCATACTAGGGCCTATGAATTGCATACAATTAATATACACCTGGATTCTTTCAGTTTATCCTGTTCTTACAAAACCTGTATTAAAACTATATGGAGAGAAAAAATAATACAATTAGATGAATCTAATTTCTATAACAATGTAGCTAAAGTAAAACAAGAATTCAGATACTTAACATGTTTTGTCTTGTTAATGTAGATTTTGTACTTACACATTAGTAAAAATAATTCCAAGTTGTTTTATATACACACGCACCAAAAATTAATTTTGGAACATGTTCCCAATGTTATTTCTGGTAAATTATTTTGTTTTCTATTGAACATAAATTCTGACTAGGAAATAAAAAGACAGAAAAATCTCCAACAAGAAGAGGTGACTGTTCCTTTCTATACAATCATTATAAAATGACAGCTGTTTTGCTCACAAGCCAGATGCTATTTGTCTGTTAATTTTCTCCATAAGCAAATGATCCAGGCGTCTCTGTCTATATCTCACCACACCAAAGGAAAAGACACCCGTCATAAAAGTTAAACATTCAAATAATAAAAATTTCTTCTCTTCATGCCAGGTGTTTGTAGGGCAACTGTTTAAAAAAAAAAAAGAGAAAGAGAGAAAAATTTAACAGATAAAACAAAAAGAAAGATTGAAAAATAATCATATTGGTCCAAATGAAGTAGAAAGATATGTCTCATAAAATTTAGGTTACAGGGTTGAGAACTTTTGAGAAAGAATTTCAAAAACGTTTATGATGCCTTTTATTAAATAAAACTGTCTTCCTTTCTATTACATTTCCTGGAATTTTACTTTTATTCATAGAAAAAAGTTGTCCAGTATATGTGTGGTAGAGTGAAAAACGAATATGACCACAACGAGAAACAGCTGCATAAAATGAAAAAAAGGTATTTTGAAAGCTACTTAATTGTAATATTCTTAACACTAGAGTAAACAGGCAACAAAATTATATTCACTGCAATTATCATGCATTCATTTTTTTTAATTTTTAATAATATGATTAAGTTTTACAGGGGGAGGGAAACAATTCAAATTGATAAAATTTTTTTTTAGAGTTTTTGTGTATAAATAAAACATTTTCTTATGATGACATGATGTGGGCAGATTTTTCCCTGAATATTTCTCTGACAAATAAGATAGAAAAAGCCAATGTCCTTATTTAAAATTTAATGAATTAGTCTTACATCTTTTTCTAAAACAAATTTTTATTGATTCTTCAATATATCTCAGTTGATAATTGTTTTTATATTATGATTGAGATAGAGAAAAAAAAATGGAGAAAAAAGGAGCACAGGCTTTGTTTCTGTTTATTTCAACATTCAAGAAATAAGTTCTATCATCAAATTTATCATTTTTGCTAAGAGTTATTTCTTATGGTCACTTTTATAACTCTACAGATATTAGAAATTTTAAAAAGCTGATTTCCCGTTTTTAGCATCAATCATTAACTGATCAAATCAATTTGCGACATACTGTGAAGGTATGCAAAACAGAAAATTAATTAAATCAAAGTATTTTTCGTAAATGCTGGATCATTATGCTAATTGTAGTGTTAAATTTAAATAAACAGAATTCTAATCAATAAAATTTTTTAAAATCCTAGAACTAACATATAGTTTGGTTCAATAATGATGTTCATTATTGAACCAAACTATATGTTAGATCAGCTAAAAAATTTTTAAATTTTATAAAAGGATGTATTTTAGAGTTTATGGAATTATTGAGAAAAATAAAAATCTCCAAATTAATTTTAAACATTTGATTGTTTAAAGAGCATCATAAAGCTATACTCCAGTGTTAAATAGAAAGCTTATGCTTATATGTGATACTGATTAGATAGATACTAACAGATTTGAGTTAATTCCACAGATGAGAAACAGCCACTTATTTACAAACTCTAATTGGGCTTACCTTTTAAAAAACTGCTTTCCATTTGAGCAACGTATTCGGCTTTTATAACCAGTTGCTTGACAATAAGGTTTTTCTGATTTCTAAAGATGAAAAATATATAACAAGAGTCTATAACTTTTTTTTAATATAAGAATTATAAAATCTTTATAAAAATTTTCTAAAAGCAATATTCTTTCAAATGATAAATTTAAATTTATAAACATTTTCTAATATAGAAATGGGACTGTTAAGCAGATGATAAAACATAACTAAGAAAGGATTTACAGAAAGTTTTGCTGTGATAACTGATATGGACAATTAAACAGTTATATGTTGAATATGCATGCTATTTTCTAGGAAAATGAGTTAAGCCTCATTTCATCTAACTTTGAGATATATGCAATTACATAAGTCTGATGTGGTATTGTAAAATTCATAGACTTGGCATATATATTAATTCAAGTGTCATACTTTTATCATTGTGTTTGCATTAAAATGCATTTAATACAAACTGAAGAACTCACCAGTTCTAACTTGTTGCATTCTAAGCAAGCTTCTACAACCAATTCATGGCCATTTGCACACATGGAGGAATTCTCTGATTGGGCTGAAAAGGTCAAGTAGAAACATACCATTATGTTATTCTTAACAGAAATGAAAAATCTTTAAAAGTTGTTAATTATAAAAGCTAAAAAAATATATTACTAGTCTGACACAACACAATCCTTCAATAAACTATATAAAAAACACGTTGACTATGTATAGTATTTCCTTGGAAAATTGGTTAAGCATCATTATATATAGCATTGAGACATATGCAATTATATATATCTGAGGTGGTATTGTAAAGTTTCTAGACTAGGCCTAAAAATATAAAAATAGTATACCAGTACTAAACATTTATACTACACACACACTTTTCATTATATAGGGTGTGGTAGAAATACCTTCTGCATAATAGCAACACATTAGTGGCAATGGTGTACGTATTTGTTTGTTTGTTTATGGGTCATTTAATACCAAAATTTAATTTTGTGGGTAGTTTTGAAGTAATAAAAATATGTTATTCTGCTTTCACAACTGAAAATATGGTAGATGATACTCAGCTTTTGTGCATATACATCTTTGTGGGGGCAGGATTACTAGAGGGGGTGATAGATGTGTGTTATGTTGTAGTTTTGTTGAAGTTATATTTTGGAATACAGTTTGATTTCTTTAAGAAATTGTCAAATATTATACAGATTAATGTCATGAAAGTGTTTTTATGTTAGCTGATTTTTTTTTTAGTGGCATATCAACCACTAGGGGTTGTTTAATGCTAAAATCTAAATATTTTGAACAAAATTTTATGGCTTCAACTAAATATATTTTAAACGTAGATAAAATGTATTGTTGGTCATTCTATAAAATTGTATTTTTATGTTTTCATAATGTTTTTGTTTTGACTATTTTCCCATAGCTGGGATCCT